ATGCGATTGCTGTAACCTCCCTGGTGATAATGATAGTAGAAATATTAATATGTAAGAACAGAAAACCATTTCTAGCTGATTAGAATAATAATAAGCATGAAGCTAGTTAGGATTTTGAATACAGACATGAGGAGTCGGGATGTAATCCTATGCAGTACAGAAAATAGTGCGTAGGATTTTATGACAGTATTTAGGAGATGAAAGTGTGCACTGTATGAGGGTTTCAGTAAAAGGACAATAAGTGGATGGGAGAAGTGGACAACAATTTTGATGTAATTCAGTTGGACTGCTATGATATTGAAATATGAGACTTTCTTTCTAAAAGATAATAAACCAGAGCTGGGGGGAACTTCCTGGTGGAGTTTTTAACATAAGTAGAAGGATACAGTTATATATCATATTATTACAATGTGTTGCAGTGCAATTGCAATTGCATTGCTTTTTGCATATATCATATTGAGTGCAATTGCAATTGCATTGCTTTTTGGACTGATAGTTTAGGTTTATGTATACAGTTATATAAAGTTGGATGTCTTCATATCGGTGAACGTTGTGACCAGGATTACAGAAAAAGATACAGAGAAGAAGATCAAGTAAAGTGTCTGTCCAGAAAGGATCCAGCCCAGTGACAAATATAGTTGTAGAGAGTAGTTCTAGGAAACACTCTTTGTTTTTTATGTTTTTTACTTGTGCTTCATAAATGAATTTTATGAGCAATGTTGTCCACACTTTTTTGGCTTGGAAGCTAAAGGGATCTACCAACAATGAAAACATTAAATATATATTTCCTCATATAAACTGAATATACTTCATATATATAATATATTTTGAGGTACTGATTGTAGATGCATAGCTGTATAGCACAAGATGATTCAATTCCTACAGTATATGGTCACCACCTCACACTAAGGAAATATAATTATATTTTAATGTTTTTATTTAAATTGCTATAATTCTACCCACACTCCCTTTGTGCTCTACTGGTAGACCGCGAAATGACGTTTTCACCCAGTAAAAAATGTTCATTTTAAAATGACATTAATGCAGATAAACAGGGATGTAGGAGGAGGCAGGAGAATGAAAAAGCAGCAGCCGTTGAATTAGTTTAGGCAAAGAGTGTACAATAAAAAAAAAAATATATAAGATATATTCCTTCCCAAGCGCCCAGGGCTTTTCCCAAAATTGAATTTGAATGTAGTTAAAGTCCTTGCAATATTTCAATATTTCGTTTCACACAAAAAAACAAGAACGGGTGAAAACAAAGTCTAACGAGGGATAAAAGAAAAACATGGAAAAGGATATTGTTTTCCGATGGTGCGAACAACACAATCATTGTTGAATATTTCATAGTTAGTGTAGAACTCTGAACAGTTGCACTGCCAAGTGGTATGTAAAATATTCAGTGTAGGAAAAACCCACAGCTTTTTCTATTGTTGAACTGGCTCTGTCTTACGCCACAGAGACAGGAAGTTACAGTGATACATCCTTAAAGTACACAAACACCTTTTCTGTTATATTACACTGAACATGAGTGTACTCTCCAGGGGATTTGGAATCTGATTAATGAACTATAAAGTGCCCGAGTTGTAGTTTCTGCTGGATAAACATCGACGTTCCGCTGCTGATAAAGCAGTCATGCCACACTCAGAACATGGAGTGTAGGAAGAATACTGGTGGCTGCTGCTGCTGCTGCTGATGATCCACAAATACAACTACTCTTGAATTTCAATCAGATACAAATACAGTCTAGTTACTTAGAGAGAGCCCCCTCCCCCTCTTTTCTCCATATCAAAATGTCAGCAGCGAGTGTTAAATGATTCTTTTCCTCCCAGATTGCAGGGAGTCCTTATAAAAACAGTCAGCAGATAGAAAAGAATGTGAGTTCAATCACCAGAATTTAGCACAGTGAATTTTAATTAAAGAAATAGTATAAGTGTTGTGAACCACAAGTTCCAATCATTAACTGTTGTTTTTCCCACTGTATAATTATTCACTTGAATCTTCTTTTTATTTCTTAATAAGAAATGAATGCCTGAGACTTTTATGTCAAGTTAGCATCATTTAGCGTGGCCATGGTCTATGCTTTGGCTGATTGTCCTGCTTGGTTTTTAACTGCACACCGGGGGGCTGTCAAATGAGGAACCCTCGGACAGATGAGCCAGTACGATGACACTGATATGCTGGGATTAACCCATGAGTGAGGGTGGAAGTGAAATTGCAGTTCCTGCAGATTCCAAAATAGCCCATTTGCTGTAGGCACTGTTCTAATGCTGGTTGGAAACCATGGAAATCTCATTTTGTGGTTTAACTCGCAGTACACTCCCCTTAAAAGTTGCACATGGAATACAATATAAAAGTTTTTTTAAACCACATTTTAATGTCTTTACTCTGAGGATAAGGAGAATTATAAAAGCATATTTTCCTCCTCATGCACCTTGATTGAATTTGTACAAACCCTCTGTGCGGCATGTTTAGTGTTTCCAAAGAGAATTAAGAGTTCCCTTTTATTTCCTTTCTCGTCTTTCTTCTGTGGTTGATATATTGCTGGAGGAGTACTTTAAAAACAACTAACTGACTCAACTTACCTAGCTGCAACCTATGACCACTCTATCCACTCACATACAGGGGGTCCTCGACTTACGTTGGAATTCAGTCCCTACAGAATGATGTAACTCGATTTTCACCAGAAGTCAGAACTCACATACTCTACCAAAGTACCTTTGTCACAAAGCTACGTTAGCACAGTAACAACAGCATGATCTATAACAGGGGTGTCAAACTGATTTTGGTTCAAACAACCTTATTAGATGTCAGGTGAGCTGTACCAGTACAATCATAACAGCATTACCTATAAATAACAGTAACAATCTCTTGCGACCCAGTCTTTGGGAAACAATGGTCTAGAACATAAAAACATCAGAGGAGTCTGACTTATGTTTGAGGGCCATAATGAACGGCAAAAAGTTCCCAAAATAACAACACAAACAAAAGAAAGCGAATGTAGCGCGATCCAATGTATGACGCACAAACGTCGAAGGTAAACAAAGACGTCTTCCCTGTATGGCACCATGAGGTGTATTCATCCTCTCCTCAGGCCAACTAGCTCCTGTGCAAAATTGGTTTTAACTCCTACGTCGTTGGTTTTAACCCTACCTGCCTAAGTACCTACTAAACCCCCAACCAACTTACCACTACTTAACACGTCAGAAATATCGACATATTTTTACATTTGCAGCACGTCTGCTGTGTTTTTCCAATTATTCAAACTGAGAGGTTCATGGGAACTGCTCAGTTAACTTTACCTCCAGCTGACATTTGTCAAAAGAATGTGAGAAAAACAACTCTGCAGCGAAGTTGTTATAAATAACTTGTCCTCCCTTGTAAAAAAAAGATAAAATATTAAACTGCAGCCTCTGCACATTAAAGATGGAACAGCTTTCTTGTATTGCTCTTGGTTTCCCCTTTTCCTCATGCGGTTTATTATTCTTTTCTCTGGCTTTGCAACTCTGCCAGCTTTACAACTCCCTCACTTCCACACACTGCCCACCCTCTGTACGGAGTAACAGTCGAGAGTTTGTGGCATGCTCTCTGCTCATTCCCCCTTGTGCCATCTGCTCAGGAAAAGAGTCGGAGCCTGAGTTACCGCAGCCTAGAGCTTCATCATGTCGAATGAATGATTTTCATCTTCCTACACTTGTACCAAAGCCATCAGCTTTTGATGATAAGCCCGGCTTGTTGTATTTATCTTGACAATGTTCCTGATGACTACTTGGCCTTACGCGTATAACGCTCCCTGCTGCTGAGTGCTGGAACATGAAAGCGTGATTTAAGGTTGTATTTTTTCTCTTGTAGCCATTTTTTAAAGGTAAGAGTAAAATACAAACCTATAAATCTGTGTTATCGATTCTTTTTGCAAACAACAATGCAGATGTAACACTTGCAAACAATTAAGCTCGTGGCATCAATGGTCTGTTTGCCCCGTGCTGTCTTGGATGATCCTGGGGTAATTAGGTCGCCAACCTGGCCCATGGCTGATGAGCTGCTTTTAGAGCTCCAGTAGTTTCAACCCTCTCTCATTGTGTGGTTTTATTGAAACCAAACCACAACTTGAAGGGTAGAACGTATTGCACTGAAGCATATGGTGGCATTCCACTGTTCCCCAGCCATCCATGTCACTGTCCTTTGCATTCAGACGCCACTACCGCAGTTTTCCCTGCTGGCGGCTCTCCCAGAGCCTGTGGAAGTCATCTTGCTTCTCGTCAAACTCTTTTATTCCCTAAAACTTCACTGCCAAAGGGACTGTTTGGCTCATGCTCTGGCTATAATAAACAACACTGAATAAGAGTCCAAGAATGCTTTCACAAAGCACCTGGTATGGAGCGCCTTTTAAGTTTGCAGCTTGCCGAAGTATCTCTTTTAGCTAGCACAGTCCGTCCGAACCTCAGCATTCATTGTCAAGCAGAGATGAGAATATTTCTCAGGTTACACTTCCTTCTTCTTGTGTTAGAATTAAGACTTCATTTTGTGCATTTATTTACTGTATTTTGTAGTAGGACTGCAGTAGAGTTTAAACTGGGTTTAAAACCACCAACTGCCCCAACTCTTAAACCCTGCCAAAGATTTTAAAGAAATTCCCATTAAACATTTTAGCTTTTCATTTGTATTATACCAAACAAACCACAAACACAGAATGTTATGCAATAATTACAAAATAGTTAAAGGTTAGACAAACTGTAGGAAAATCCATTAAAATGGGCAATTCACTATAAAAAAAACAAAACAAAACTGACTGAAGGTTTGCAGTAAACAAAGTTTAAGAATAAAGTTCTACTGATATTGCCCTGACAATTATCAAAGGTGACACTAAAACAAATTTTAGCAGTGGAAAATTCGAAACAAAATAATTTCCTTCAGGCTTCTGGAGCTTTAGAGTAATTTTAAAAAGATTTAATCCTTTTTCACGTTGATAACTTTTATGCACCAATTTGTCTTCTCTCCAGGTGACTGCGACAGATGCAGATGGAGGTTCCTTTGGCTCCATCACCTACTCCCTCGGCTCTGGTATTAACAGCGCCGTTCCCTCCCAGTTCACCATTGGCAAAGAGACAGGCCAGATCTGCATCAGCGCTTCACTGGACAGAGATCAAGGGCCGACCAGCTTCGACTTCACTGTAACTGCAGTGGATGGAGTAAGCAGCCGCATTTTGGAATCCTGCATATGCATATTATGATCAGTATTTCTATAAAAAATAGTGAAGTAAAAGACTACTGACAAGAGAGCAAAGATGTGATGATTTGTGCAGAAAGGATAAATCAATTCTGGCATAAGCAGCCAAGTGGAAAAAAAATGTTTGAATGCCCGTGGCTTGCAATCAAAACTTTGTATTGCACCCTGATTACAATATTCTGCCTAATTTATATAAAATAAAATGTTGAAATTGAAAAAAAAAGAACCTATTGCGGTTCTGTTAAAGCAGTCAGAGGGAAAATACCTCAAGTGTCAGGCTGTAATATTTTAACAAGTCAGAGAACTGCCTTCTTCATTTTTGCCACCTGGTCCAAATGAAAAGCCTGCACTGTAGTTTTTGCAAATAAAAAGCTGCCTATAAAGCAGATTGTTTGGTTGGGGAGGGGGGGCTCTCTTGTCCTCCAGGGGTCTTGACATATTGCTACATCTCAAGGGAAACTATCAATCCCTATGCCTTCACAGGAACCTGCTGGGACTATATTTTAGAGGGTACGCTGTACATGAAAACTTTACTGCTGCTTTTTACTAGCTGCGTTAATGTGGCCTAAATCCTGCGTCTCGTGCGTGTGTGTGTGTGTGTTTTTCCTCCTTATGATTTAGTGGCAAGGGTCAACAAAAGAGCTTTTTGTTTCCTTTTCAGGGTGGACTGAGCTCAGTAGCCTACGTGAAGGTTGATCTGGTTGACATTAATGACAACAGACCCACATTCTACCCAGTCAGCTATGCTGTTAGCTTGAGCACGCAGAGCGCTCCTGGGACATCTGTTGTCAGAGTCATGGCCTACGACCCAGACTCGGGCGAGAATGGCAAAATAACCTACAAGACAGCACCAGGTGGCGCCTCCCCGTACTTTACACTGAACAAAGACACAGGTTAGTCTAAGTTTGAACCAAGTCTTTGATTTTTGATGATTTTTTTAAAATTTAAGATTTTCAAATCTACCATTAATAACTGCATCCTGTTGTAGGGGTGATCTCTTTGTCTCGGTCCGTCTACGGGAAAGCCAACTCTATCATCCCCATGGTCATCTCAGCTCAGGACGGTGGGGGTCTGGTGTCCCTTGTCAATGCCCGAGTCAATATTAGTGTGGTGGCCGGGTTAGTAGCGCCACCTGTGTTTGAACAGATGCAGTACTACTTTACTGTATCGGAGGAGGTCTTGCGAGGAACAGTAGTGGGCGTCGTCCAGGCCAGCACCAAAACAGGTAACCTTCACTAACTCACTTATTTGAATCCTTGTTCGTAAAAGTCAAGGGTTAAATCTGCTGATAAAAACCAGCATGAGATTGCTGAGTCATTGATTTATGGGTTAATATCAGGATTTAATAGCGACACACTTTCATATCAAAATTGGATCTTTTACCAAAAACTCAATTTACTCTTGATGTCGTAATACCAGCCCTAATTCTGCACAAATTACTAAAGCAAGGCGATAGAACTGGTGAACTCTACACCAGTTCTACCTCCTTTCTTTAGTAATTGGGCTGCGTATGTTTCTGTCATATCAGGGTCCTGAAAATCAACATACTGTATCTGTGGAATCAATAAAAGGTGAATAACAAAAAAGATTGGATAAAACATTAAGAACATACACAAAAGTGAAACAATTTACAGACGATTAAAATGTGACGCAGTTTTCATTTTCCACATCTTATGGGAGTATATACCAATATTAATTGAATATATATCCAAATCAATATTTTTACACTGATTATTGTAAAGAACTATCATTGGCAGGGTCAATTAAAACACATTTTTGTGTTTTTACAGATTTGAATCCAACTTTTTAGGAAACATCATTTGTAGATTACACAGTTATCTCCAGGTCGTACACTGTGTCTGATTTCAGTGACTTAAACATGATCAGACACACCAGTTACACGTCTCCAACAGCTTCGTCATTATATTGTCATGAGTTGAACTGTGTTACCTTTAATTCAAACAGACTTCAATCTGCGAAGATCAAACCTTTAACAAAACAACATCAGAAAGGAAATAGATTTTAGTCCCTAGATGAGACAGATCAAAGAAGACATTCCTTAATGGAAATGCAGATTTCAGATGTGTTTAGAATGAAATGGACAATCGGTCCAGGAAAATATTTTTATCAATATCATGTGTACTGTTATTTTTAAGATGATCTTTTATTTCTCTTATTATATTTTGGCTAACCCTGGTATATAGGTGTGTCACAGACTAACTGAGGCTCAGTAGATGGAGCTGGTTGTCTTCTAATGAAATGTTTGGCACATAATCCTTGAGTGAGACTTTGGTCCTAAAATCACAGTAAAAGACTCAATGACTCACTCAGTGTAGCAGGAGACTCAGAGCCTGTTGTTTTCTAATCAAAAACATCTTAAATCCTACTGTTGTTACCTAAGCTGAACCTTAGGTCAGTAACAAATATGTTTTATTACCTTATTTACTTATTTTAGACCATTGGATCATTCAGCATCATGCAATCTTTAATGCAGGAATTATTAAAAACAATAAAGAAAGAGGCTCGGTCTCATCAAACACACCCACGTCTGAAGTCAGGAGAATTTATAAATATTTAAAGTGTCCTCTTTCTTTGGTGTTCTAAGTGACGTGTCACTTCTTTTTGACCAATCAGGTAGCTCAAGAGATGTCTCCTACACAATCAGCTCTGGAGACCCAGCAGGTTACTTTATAGTGGACCCTGAAACTGGAGTCCTAAGGACAAGTCTACCCCTGGACCATGAAGCCCAATCAACTCTTGAGTTGGAGATACAAGCTCGAAGCGGAAACCCGCCAGCCTTTGGTCAGACACGTGTCCATATAACCATTGCGGACATCAACGACAACCCGCCGGTATTTTCACCCTCGTCCTCAGAGTCCCTGCTGCTACCAGAAAACACAGAAATAGGTACAGTTGTGTACCGGCTGCAGGCTGAGGACAAAGACTCCGGAGTCAATGGACAACTCAGTTATGACCTGTCTCCTTTAAATGGGGTCCAGAAGACCTTTAGCGTAGAACGCAACAGCGGAGAGATCCGCTTAGTTGGGAGCCTCCGTTTTGAGAGTAACCCTCGCTATGACCTAAGAATGTTGGCTAAGGATAATGGAGTTCCCCAGCTCAGTGCTACCTTTATGCTAATGGTACATGTCCAGGCCGAGAATGACCACGGACCTGTGTTTGACACGCTCACCTACCGTGTAGAATTAAAGGAAAATACACCAATAAATACACGCTTCCTCCAGGTCAGAGCCCTGAACAGAGAGGCTCCTGGTTCAGGTCACTCTAATCCACAGACCTATCACCTCCGTCCAGATGGAGACGCTGCAGGGTTTGGCATCGCCGCAGACAGTGGATGGCTGTTTGTGAAGAGTGCTCTGGACAGAGAAGTCAAGGACATGTATCTTCTAACAGTGATGGCAAGTGCAGGCTATGGACAGTTGAAAAAGACGGGCAGCGCCACCGTGAGAATATCAGTGACAGATGAGAACGACAACTCGCCCCGGCTAACACAGGAAAGGGTGTTTATGGCTGTGAGAGAAAACCTGCCGGCCGGAACAGGCTTTGGTCATGTCTTAGCCACTGATCGAGACAGTGGACTCAACGGACGCATCAGTTATCACTTTTTGCGTCCTGAACGCCACTTCAATATGAACTCCAATACAGGTGAGTTGAAGATGCTGCTTTTATGGCATTGAAAAGAAAGAAAACATTACATTAACTTCACTTAGATTGACATTGGAAACTGACTATTGTAGCTAAATATCTAAATATACCCTTTTTTGTCATTTAAAATAATTTTGTATTGGATTAGATTAGATTAAGGTTAATGGATCCCTTACTGGGAAAACTGATATGGTGCAACAACAAGCGTTGTTTTCCCCAGACAGGGACTGTAAAATCGAGAAAAAAAAACATTAAAAAAAAAGATATTTTAAATGTGGAAGAAAAAATATCAGAAATTTTGAAGTAAGTACAGTCAATAGTTATACCTTTTTCCCCCGCTGTCTTTATTAGACCGAAGTGCTGTTATTTAATGTTTGTTTTATTGTGTATTCAAAAAAATAAGAAATAAAAATATGCATGAATACAAGGACGAGCTGAGAAGCATAAATAAATCTGCTGTCAACAGAACTGTCTGCAAAACAAGAGAAAGGCCGCATTTAATTTGTTGAACGTTCTAATATGCAGGATTTATGGATTACACTTATATCACGTAAGAGGATTCTGTAGTCGTTTTTGGGGCATTTATTTAAATATCACTAAGCCAAGACACGTGTGCATGTAATTCCTTCCAATGAGAGCTAAAAACTTTTCTCTATCTGAGTGCAAAAGGTAACGTCTTAAAGAGATCTTAGTTGTGTTTGTCAGTGAAGATTTGAACTATTTGTGGAAGGAATTACTCTTGAGTCATCTACAGAAGATATTGTCATGAATAAGCCAAATTGAAGTGACAGCACCACTAAGCATCATGCTAGGCTCTAATTAAACTGCTGAGCCTGTTAGTCTGCAGGTGGAAAAGGAGAATATGATTTGTGATCATTCGTTGGCCGCTGTTTGTCTCTGCAGCCCTCCTCCACCCCTCAGTTTCTCGTGCGATGTGAGAGTACACATCTACACACTGTGCGTGACTGTTGCTTGTGTGTCACCGATCAAAGCTGGCTGACGACTAAGTCTCTCATCATTATTCCAGTGCTCTGGACCTGTGCCTCAGCATGAAAATCCTCTTATCCATCTTCTTCTCTCCCCAGGTGAGATCAGTACAAGGATCACTTTAGACAGAGAACAGCTGTCGAGCTACCAGCTCGCAGTAGTGGTGCAAGATGGAGGTTCGCCTCCTCGGAGTGCCACGGGCACGGCCTTCATCACTGTCCTGGATGACAATGACAACAGCCCTGTTTTCACCCACAGTCAATCAGGAAAAAACCTCATCATACAGGTACAGGCCTTGAAAAAAAAATCCATGTTATAAATTCATGTATTATTCTACATATGTGATGTTTTTTTTACTTAGGTATCAGAAAGTCAAATCTCAGGGGTTTTTCTGGGCACACTGCAAGCTAAAGACCCTGATGATGGAGAGAATGGAACTGTGTTCTACTCTTTGTCAGGTAAAAGACCTGTAACAGTGAAGACATTTGTTCGTCTGTGTAAATCAATGCAGTAACCATAATAACTCTCCATTGTAAGCTTGGTTATAGTATTGTGACGGCTATTTATTTTATTTCATTTGTACCAAAACAGAAAACAACAAATTTATTTCACAATCACATATTGACCGTCCTTGTAGCTTGTTTGAGACATTCATTATTGGTTAACCTACAAGAAACCAACGTGTCTTCTCATGCCTCTAAAGTGCATAAAACACATATTCATGGTTTCTCAAAACAATTGATCTATGAATTTTCTTATATATTTGCATTATGTGCATATTATATATCAAGGTTAGCGTTAGCATTAAGGTGCTTCAGGCACCAGATTGGACAGAATTAGAAACAGGGATAACAGAGGTAGAGCTTAGGTGACGCAGTTCGAAGATAAGATCATGATCTTTACTTGAGTGAATTTTACAAGCTTTACTTTACTGCATTCTATTAGTGGTTTTAATGAAAATAAAAATGTCATCATTGTTTGGATATAGATAAATACTGTGGAAAACAATCCTAATTACCTCTGGTTTGTGTATCCACCCCTCCCACACACATCATGTCACGTAAAACTTCTTATCTGTCACAGGTCCAAGGGCTGAGCGTTTCTCTTTAAACACAAACACCGGAGAGCTGCGTTCATCATCTCCACTCAGCCACTCAGAGCAAGCTGTGTACGCTCTGACAGTGACAGCCACTGACAGAGGCCTGCCTCCTCGCAGCACCTCCTGCTCCCTCACAGTTCAGGTCAGACTCCGCCACCACAAACAAACTCAACACTCACTTTTTTTCATATCAAAGAATTGGATCCTTCAGCCTCGCGTTTGACAACTGTCCTCCCTTTTTTCCCCCTCCTGTAAATTATTCAGAAGGGACATTTCTATCAGCGGTGGAAAAATTGCATCCGAGTCCCAGCTGGTTCGTTGATACAGCTGTATATTTCTGTCAATACACATAGTAATATTTGCACTATTTCTGGAGTATAAAATACCATCACGTTCAGTGCAGGCTCCAACGTCCAGTCAACCTGAATTTATCGTATTTACCAAAAACAATATCCCTTCGAATAATCGTGATTAATCAGGAATTATCCACAGCTACTCTGTGATACATTTTAATCGACTGCCATAAACATCTATATAAAAATATATATATATTTCCATATATATACACAGCGTACATATATATACATAGCCACTGTTTATCTAGCTAGCTGCTGCTGTTCTGTAATGTATTTACATCATCTTTTTTGACTCGTGTATTACTGCAGTGGTTAGCAGGATTGGGCTAAACCAATTCATTTTTGGAAACCTCCTTTCCCATCCAATGTGGAACCAATTTTAGGCATGTGATGTCAGAGCACGGCCCAGTTGTGAAGTGCCTACTTGCTGTGGGAACAATGCTGTTGCAGATCACCCGCTTGGCTTACGAAACAGTGTCAGTAATGCAGCTGAAAATTCGATCAGAGTGACCCTGCCATGTTAACCCACCCCACCTAACGGTTGTCTAAATTTGCCAGGCTTTTCTAAAAACAACATTATGCACACTCCATCGACATATAAATAATAGAAGTTTTTTTTTCTTACAAAGCCAGAAGGTTAAAGTTCTTGACCTCTTAATGTTCATCAAGGGAAGTTCATAAATAGAATCCAGTTTATTCTACACCTTTCATCATATTCTTTCAATTATTGTGCTACTTTTATCATCTAGTATTTTTCCTGGCGTTGTTGAAAGTATCAGATTAAGTGTGATTAATGCTAGCAAGCATGTTATTCAAGTCTATGAAAACCTTTTGCAACTGGTTCCATTTTATTCCCTGTGAACATGCAGAGAACATTTGGGTGGATGGAAATCTGCTTCTGCTTTGCCCCTAATCCATGAAACATTTTTTGTACTTTGTTTACAAAATTGTAAACTCAATTTTCCACCAGGCGTCTAAGTAAAGCACAAGATCAACAGATCAAATGCACATTCACGGACAGTGTTTTCTTCTTCACTGCAGGTTCTCAGCATTAACAGTCCTACGTCCAAGGCCAGTTCACGCTCCATATCCTTCAACACTGTGGAGGAAGCCAAGCCTGGTTCTGTTATTGGCTCAGTTCGCCTCCGTGACGGAGAAGCCTCGAAGGAAGGCGAGGTGACCTACGTGGTGGTTGGAGGGACTGACCACGATGGAACCTTTGTTGTGGATCGTGTGACTGGAGACGTTTATCTGGCTCGCCCGCTCGACTACGAACGAGACACACACTACACTTTGCAGATCGAGGTGGACGACTTCTCTCAGTCTCCACCCAGCAGCACCTTGGTGCACCTGGGCATCGATGTGGATGACAGCAATGACCACGCCCCTCAGTTCTCGGAGGACCCCGTCACCATTGTCATCTCTGAGAGTTTGGAGCCCGGCTCCTCCATTTATACATTTCAGGCTATAGATGAGGACGGAAGTGGTCCCAATAGTGAGATCAGTTACTTCATTCTCCACCAGTGTCCAGACACGCCTGGCCTCCTCAAACTTGACCCGTCCACTGGAGTGCTGTCTTTGGGACAGGAGCTGGACCATGAAGTGACCAGCAACTTGATCCTGGTTGTTAAGGCCACAGATTCTGCCGTTGATGCCAGCCAGAGACGCTGGGGGTCTGTCACCGTTAGATTGTACATAACCGATGAGAACGACAACCCACCAGTGTTTGGTTCACCAACTGCTGTCAGCGTGATGGAGGACCAGCCTGTCGGGTTTGTGGCTCTGTATGTCATAGCCAGTGATGCAGACCAAGGGGAGAATGGCAGGGTGACCTACAGCATCCAGTCAGGCAACACCGGAGGAACATTCAACCTGAACCCCAACACTGGTGAGTTTAGACTAATGTAGGTTTTCTGTTTTTGGTCAGAATGTTTTGTAACTGCCATCTGCAAAAACCACATCCCTCAAAATAGAGGGATTCAATAAAGTTTGGTCCCTTTTGGACTCGCTTAAAGCAATTATTCTGCCATAGTACCTTGAATCATCCATCCAATACTGTTATTGTAAACATACCCAAATAACCCGTAACTAGACTTTCTGTCTTTCAGACAGTGAAGCTGTCCCTAAAACATGTATCATTCCAGGTCATGTCTTTCTCGCTCTTGCTGCTTTTCTTGTGTCACACATACAGCAACGCCTGAAACTCGTCTCCAACTCCAACTCCACCCCCCCTGCCCACTCTTTTTTTAACTCCTGTTTTACACTGCTAGGTTCTCTTTCATATTTTTCTCTAAATGTGATTACCTGTCAAAGGGTTTTTATGACATACAAAAGGTGAGGTACAGGGTGCAGACAGGGTGGAGTAAGTGCAGACAAACGTTAATGGTGATGTACGACTAAAGGACTGCAGAAAATTTAGGAGTTGGTAGTGAGACCTAGGACACTGGTACTTTCAGGTAGTGACATGTTTATTAGGAGTGACCTGAGAGGACGATATCGGATGATAAAGTTTTTTGTTTTTGCAAGGTTGAGAGGGTTTGACATGTGCTGATTTATCAGACTAGATGGGAACAAGGAAAAAAAGCAGATTTGGTTGGTGTACCAGACAGGGGTGTAAGGCATGGGGAAACCTGGAGGCTGTTGATCCACCATGGTGAACTCTTAAGGGAGGACGGTGTACAAGAAAAAGAGATAGAAGAATCAGAATAGTTTCTTACCACACATGCTAGAGGACGGTAACTACAACAGGAACATAATTCTACTTCAGTGATTGTTTTTGTGTGTTAAGTGTTTCTAGGCGCCAAAGACTAACACAAATAACGTCAACCTAAACCTAACTCTTCAAATGTTTGCCTTTTTTCTTCTCGACCTCGTGCAGTTTTCTTGGTCACTCACTGCGTTACTGTTATCATTAGGTCTCTATGAATATACACAAACACTTAGGAATACCCCTCTGACTCTTGAGTGCAGCGAGGCTCTTGCTTCACCTCTCATGACTTATTTTTCTCAGTTGGAGACCAGACAGACAGAGCGGCCTGCCAAATACTCAACAGACACGCACACTCGTACACTCACATACATACATGTGCAAACACACACAAGCACAGCCGCCCACCAACCCCATCATCTGGTATTGTGAATCTATTCCCATGAAAGACGAAAGAGCCTCCTTCTCAGCTTCTGGGAACCATTAAAGATGGGATCGCTTACACACGTTTATGTGTACACACGTGTGTGTGTGTGTGTGTGTGTCTGCGTGTAGCGATGTGCTCTGTGTTTCCATGAGGCTCTGTGTCACTTTGTCAGCACTGACCCCAGGGCTGTTTGTGCGATCTTTGCGACACGTGTCAGCATTGACCACTTCTTTCGCCTTTGAGTTGCCAAACGGCATGGCCTCTCTAGCAGCCCAGGAGTGGAAATATTCGGGGGAGGGGCTGTCATGCTTGTCATTTTGGCTTTAGCCTGGTGTGTGTACTCACCTTGAAGTGTTTTCATGCACACTGGCTATTTGTTGGAATCATGACAGAGATAATCCTCCGAGCACCTGGTTTGCTTCTGTTTTAGGGTCAGTGACCAAAGATCTGCTCCATCCCCTCCCTGTCTCTATCACTTACTTTGCCAGTAAGTTGACCACAAAAGAGAGAACTGCTGAGCAAATAATAGAAAGAATATATATATATGTATATATACAGAACAGCATGTGAAAGAGTTTGAAAGTCTGAAATAATGTTTAAATGAAAACAGCTAATCTAGCAAAATATAGACCAAGGTTTGGAAGCTGCTACAAATGTTTTGCCAAAAAATAACTACAAAAGGCCAGAGTTGAGAATGTATGATAAAATACATCAAAATGTTGTGGACATTTCTTTTGCAAAACCTTTTAATTACTAAATAAGTGGCCATGATCTGGTAGGATGACAATAAAAGCCGGAAGGCAAAAAGATACTGACATGCTCATAGCGTTTCCCTTTGACAGTGCGGCCTAGCGATGAAGACATCAAATGTTGAATAGTAACTTGTGCGTGTAAGAGCAAAACAAAATATGTTTTTTGTCTGTACAACCTCGGCTAACCCTCATACTGCATTTCAAAGGGTGAAGCCACAAACCCCACAAAGGCTTAAGATGTTGGAATTGAAAACATCCAAAACAAAAACTTCCCCACTGTTGCACGAGTTCTGCCCATGTGTTATCAGTGACCAGGGATATGACAGGATCAGAGGAGTTGAAACTGGTGAAAATATTCCTGCCTGTGGCGAAATATAAAGAGAAAAACACACATGCGAAAAACTTCAAAACAAAACGGCTCTGGTCTCTTCTTTCTTCAACAGTTGCAGCTCATTTTAAAGCATGAAATTGAAATTGAATCAATGCAAGTTCCACTCTCTTTGGGCAAGATAATGAAGAGGCAGGAGTGCCCCTAATTTCTGCAGAGCACGGCAGGCCTGGCAGTTGCGTGTCTAGAGCGTGTGTTTACTGCTATTTTCTCTATGGCTGTGGCATTCTCCAATGGAAAATCTCATAAACTGTGGCCAGACCACTGGGCTGCTCCAGCAGTGGTGGTGGTAGCAGTCAGGTAGGCAGTGCTGTTTGTGTGTGTGTGGAGAAGATTAGCCCTGATTTGGCCGTCACACGGCAACACGGTTCACACTTGTTTTTTGTGACTTCATGACACACACGAGTGGAAAGTAGCCAGTTTTATAGCCTTTGATACGTAGCACACTCTCATGTTGTGCTTGTCGTGTAACTGTCTCCGTATTCAGGCTATAATCAAGTCCTAACCGCACACACGTATACATGCGCACAGGAAAGGTCTCTGCACATTTCACAGCTGATTCATCTTCCTACAGGTTCTCTGTCCATCTCCAAACCACTCAACAGGGAGGAGCAGGACGTCTTCAACCTCACAATAATTGCAGAAGATCATGGGATCCCTCAGCGATCGTCCACACAGCTCCTGTGTGTACATGTGATTGATGTTAATGATGAGGTGCCCTGGTTTGAGGAGAGCCAGTACGAAGGCCAAATCTCTGAGAACCAGCCTCCAGGAACCAGTGTCCTTACAGTATCTGCCTTTGATCTAGACCAAGGTAGGACATGTTTTCTTCATGCTTCTACCACGTTGAGTGTAAGAAGTGAGTGTAAGATCAAAATGTCCTAGTTTCTCTCTCTATTATATTTCCCTCTTTATTATTATTATTATTATTATTATTTTGGGACCATATTTTAAAAGTCACAAACCCTCGTGACCCAAGTCAATAGACATTATTCGTAAACTCCTGGGAAACATGATGCGAGACGACCCAAAAAAAGAAAAAAAATCCCAGTCTTTGGGAAACAATGACCTATAGGATCTCCAAAGTCAAGGTTAGATTAGATTAGATTAGATTACTGACTTTATTGATCCCACTCTGGGTAAATCGTTGTGTTGCAGCAACAAAGGACAGAGGTAGAATACACTGTACCATATTGATGTACCATACACATTCAAGAGCACAGGGTATGGGGTAAACATCACACCTACATCAGGCCCACCTACATCAATGACCTGATGTTGAGCCCTCAAGCCCTTAATAATAGCCCCAGAGGACCAGGTGTAGGATACCTGTTATACTTGTCTCTCCCAGTTAACTTGTTGACTATATCTATAGGGTTATGTAGTTTCCAAGGTTACTAGAGTCATCCTGATAATTATCATATTGATATTGACATATTGATTGACATATTGATTGATAATAATTTGCTGATACAGAATGGTTAATGTGCCTGTCATACTTTCCATGTGATATATTTTTTAAGGTGCCTCTTAAAAATCTCACTCTAGGGCAGAACGTTTTTACCCTCAGCCCCACTCTCCTTGACTGCTGCAGTCAGTCCTGTCTTTTGTATCAAAGACCTGGACTGGCTCCAGGACTTTATTTACAGACAGCCACCCAACGCCCTCTCATCTCCTTTGGCTGTCGGTCAACTGCTCATTACACATAAACTACTCCCTCTCATTAAAAGAAACTCGTCATGGCCAAGCCATACAGTACCTGGCTTTTTTCAACCTCCTGACTCCCAACTGTATATGGTTGAAGGGCACGTATTTATGAACCTACAGTTAACACCCGTCCCCCAGACTCCACTCCTTATATCTGTCTCCTTGCATCACTCCATCCGTGGGACAGTCCCCCATATACGAACTGCAGGTCCTCTGAGGCTTTTACTGTGAACAACTTTATTATAACAGACTAATTTCATCCAAACTTGGTCCACCAGACCATCCAATCCGGCCCAGGACTAGGTTAAGATAAGATAAACATTGAATAATAATAATGTTAGACAAAAAGTGATTTTTATTTTATTTTGTTTGAGTGTCTGACCCTGAGGTGGTGGAAAAATTCTGGTCCTCTGACAAATACAGTTGGCGACCCCTTGTTTACGTGTTAAAAATACAGTTATCAAACTGGAGATGTGCCAGATCATGAACAATGTTAAAGTGCAGGTAGCAGCGTTACGGTTAAAAAAGATTCTTAAATCCTTATTTAGAAAAATAATTTAGAAAAAAAAAGTCACTGACATTTTCATCATTTCAATCTTTTTGGAGTGTTTTCTTGGATGCCAATTCAAGGTTATTTAGATTTTGAAACTTGGATGTTTTGAATTTACTGGAACCAAGGACAACATGTACCTTCTATGATTTTGTACTGCAGCTCATTTAAATTACAGCCTTGTATCTACTATTGGGTCCGAATGACGTTGACAAGAACCCCTGAAGTGGTCTCAAACCTATGGCTAACTAGTGTTTAACAGTTGAGTAAAATATAAACACTTAACAGTTGTTTTTAATTAAGAACTAGACAGGAGGATCAGGGCAGGGAGTGAAAGGGAGAATTCCTCTGAACTTAGCGAAAAAAAGCACATAAAAGAGGAGTTTAAAGTTTTTCCTCCAGAGCAATTGGTGAAGTAATTGGGTGAGGTTGTTATGCTACTTTCTGTTAGCACGCAATCCCCAGGGAGTGTTCTGATGCCAACTGCATCAACAGTCGACCAAATGGCAAATAAACATCGAGGTAACACGCTATCAGCAATTTCTTAGTCAGCTAACTGACTCAAGTTTTCATAGGTGTCTGCAAAAAGTCCAGATCAGTATTAGTCTAACAAAGGGACAGATCAACAAATCCAGAACAGTTCTGGTGGACACACTGTCCAACTGCTCATCTGGCAGAGAATTGTTTTGGAGCTGCTTCTATAACAGCCTTCCCATCTCTGATCTGATTTAGAACAGTTTAATACTGAATCGCTCATTAGGTCCGTTTCGGTTATTTAACCATCCTGTCATGCTTTTTTAAGTTAATTGCCTCTATTGTGAAACAGCAGAACATTGGGCTCTGATAGGCCTTCGTGCCTGGATAGTTTGTACAAGACATATAAAAGAAATGAAACCAAAAAAAAAATGTAATTTAATTTAATTTAACAATTAACTTATCAAACAGAGAGACCAAATATGAGTCTATGTTTCCCATACCACAAATCACAGTATGGTGAGATGTCTGTTAACATAAAGTTCACAGGATCAAATCCCTATTATATTAGCTTGCTTTTGCTAACTTGTGCAACAGTGGTGTAATTTAGCTGTGAAAGATGATTCAAATATGTGACCTTGCTAATAGAATTTCTCTTTTGGCTTCTTTGAACCACTGTTTTTAAAATTGTTACTGGAATTTAGTTATTATATTTGTTATTTACATGGAGCGTTAGATCTCTAAGAAAAAGGCAGAGAAAATATGTATTATCTAAACTATTAGAATCAAGTATTGACTAAAATGTGCCGACTGTTTTGAAGGATATTGCTCAGGAAAAATGTATCTTTATTTACATTTTCTAGGTACCAATGGGCAGGTGACTTATGGGGGTTTGTCAGAGGGGGCTTTCCAAGTTGACCCCCTGACAGGCGTCCTACGGACTACAAGAAAGTTGGACCGGGAGATGCAGGAAGACTACACCTTGTCAGGTAACACCTAACGGACTGCAGGAATAAAAATGAAAAAGAATTCCACCGTGAAGATCACAAACAAAGTCATTTATTCTGTTTTGGCAGTTTATGCAAAAGACGGTGGACTTTTACCCAATTATGGCAAAACAAAAGTGAGGATCAAAGTGCTTGATGAAAATGACAATGCTCCCGTCTTTGGGCGTCTTTACTACGCCATCGAGGTGCCAGAAAACGTGGAGGCCTCGTCTCTGTTCACGCTCAGAGCCACAGACTTAGATGCAGGAGAAAACGGGAAGAAGATCTACAAAATTACAGGTGGGATTTTGGTTTAAGTTCTACAGTCAGTGGAGTACATACATTTATACTATTTATTTATTTATATTTATATACATACATACATTTTTATCATAATACATTTTTGTTTAAAGAAATTTCAAATCTAATTATTAGGTCATTGTGAGTGTTTATTAACTTTTAATTGGTATTACTTCTGCCTAAAGTGAGGTCATTGTGAGTGTTTATTAACTTTTATTTCTTACTTTAAACTTTTTTTCTTTTGGCAAATTTCAAGTGGTGTTTTGAAAAACATCTTGAAGAATTTCTGGCCTTTCAGCTTGTGCATCGCACAAAAAACTAAAATAAACTAATTTTTTTTCTTCACTCCAGCCGGAGATACAGCTGGAGACTTTCATTTGGACAGCAGGACTGGTGTGCTGTCCACCTTACGGCCCCTTGATAGAGAAAGAAGAGAGGGTTACACTTTAACAGTCACAGCTCAAGACCGGGGTCAGCCTTCCCTCAGCACCACTGCCACTGTGGAGGTCAGTGTTCTGGACATTAATGACCACAGCCCCCAGTTCCAGAGCAGCAGCTACACTGCAGACATCTCTGAAGACGTTCCCATTGGCTCACTGGTCCTGGAGGTCAAAGCTGTTGATCTAGACGAGGGTGTGAACAGTCAGGTGCTGTATTTTCTGAGCCGTGGCTCCCAGAGCAAGTTTATCATTGACCAGAAAACAGGACGAATTATCACAGCGGCGCTTCTGGACAGAGAAAGAACCGCCTCCTACACATTTGAGGTGTGCGCCACTGACTCCTCCCCAGCAAATCCCCGCAACGCCACGGCTCAGGTGACGGTTTACATCCAAGATGTGAATGACAATGCACCTATTTTCATTCAAGACCCTCTGGTGGTCAACATCTCTGCGAGCAGTGTGACCAGCCGCCGAGTCTTGGCCACAATGAGGGCAGAGGACAAAGACTTTGGAGCCAACGGATCTGTTTTTTATCGCTTTGCAAATCCTGTGAGGGGCTTCACCATTAATTCACTGACAGGAGACATTCAGGCTACAGAGAAGCTACAGACCCTGACCCAAAGCCAGAGGATCTTGATCATTCAGGCCATGGACCAGGGCAACCCTGCTCAGTCTTCTCTCGGTGTGGTTATCATTTATATCAGGGAGCAAAGCTACACAGGGATTCGCTTTTCTCGCACTGCTAGAGATGTCAGCCTGCAGGAGAATGCTGCAAAAGGTAAGTATGAGTGGCATAACGTTTGAAAACAACAAGTACAGCTTATTGATTTTAATGGTACTTTTTTCCACTTTTTACCTTACAGGCACAGTAGTAACACAGACACAGGCCAGGTACCCTGATGGCTCCCAAACTGGAATAAGCTACAGTATTTTTAGTGGAAATGTATTGCAGTCTTTTGGAATAAATACTATTACTGGTAAGGACAGAAATGGTTAAATCAACTACAGATTCTGTTTACTACAAAGAACTCACTGTTATTCTCTAACAAACAGGTGAGATCTGGGTCCAGAACTCTGAGGGACTTGACTATGAGGAGACCCCAAAACTGCGCCTTGTGGTGAAAGCTGAGACGGCGTCCTCCAGCTCCTACATGGCGGTCAACTTGATTCTACAGGACGTCAATGACAACTTGCCACGCTTCCAACTCCAGAACTATGTTGCGTACATAAGAGAAGCCCAGGGCTACGACTTCCCCATCATCCAGGTGCAGAAGCGTGCCCTTTTTTTAGGTTTAACTGGTGGTTTAAAAAGCACTGAGATTTCATAGACCTGAGTGATTTGTCTTCTGTGGAGAAGTGTCTTTGATGAGAACATAGAATCATTCTGTTCCCTGCAGTCCACTTTTTGTTGAAGTTCAACATTGTTCACTGGTTCACTATGTCTGTTTTTATTCTTTTGTCGATATTGCCTTTAGGTTGCTGCAGATGACTTGGATCAGGGTCAAAACAGCCAGCTGACCTACTCTATCAGGTCATCATCCATGAGTGGCTTGTTCAAGATAGACCCAATAACTGGCAGCATCACGACTGCGGCCATAATGGACAGAGAAATTTGGACTCAGACAAAGTAAGCAATGGTCTTTTTGTCTAGAAATTCCCTCTCTGTCTTTTTGTCAGTCCACACGGACCATGAATGCTTTAAGTTGTCTAAAAAGAGGGCATGGGTATGATGGGTACCACTGACCTTTTCATTATGGCCAGTTGAAACCTTTATAAGATCCAATATTTGTACCACTTTTCTGCATTCATTTTAAATTCCCACAAACAAATGGTGTCTGTTTCATGCCTGTCTGCCTTTCCCTGCTGCATGTCTCTGTGGTAATTAGTTTCTTCACGCTCACCTGTGTCCTGTGCTCCCTGTTCATTAGTCTCACTCATCACACCTGGTGCCCTGTCTGTACATATCCCTCAGCCGCACTTCCTCTTTCTGGTTCATTCATTGTGTCACTTGTTGAGGCTGTTGTCTGGTCTGTGTCTCTCTGTTTCCTGTCTGTGTGTCTAGTCTGTGTCTGTGGGCTGTTCAGTTCTGTTAAGACAGAAAAAAATAAAAATAAATAAAAAGCATGTTTCTGCTTTGTCAGTAAATTAAAGTACTGAGTGTTTTTGACCATACTGTGAGCATGTTATATTGTTTTAAATCACAGGAACTATTGCTAATACTAGTGGAATATCTGAAACTTTTTTGGACTTTTCAAGATCAAAATGTGTTCCCTCTCAATCAAATAACATTCATTAAGGATAGCATCTATCTGACTTGTAGAATACATATATAATATGTAGTAATAAACTGAAACCTGGAGGTGGCGTCCTATCAGCAAAAAACATACCACTGGTTTTCTAATAAAGTAATATATCACAGCAGGGTCTGGTAGGTTGAAGGTCCCCAACCTTTATATTTGGTACGGGATAGTTTTATGTCTGGAAATTGTTGACTTGCTTAAATAATCCGCTCACTGTGTGCCAACAGGCTAGTGGTTACAGCAACAGATCGGGGCAGCCCGCGGCTCGCTGGCTCCGCCACTCTGACGGTTATCATCATTGACCTCAACGACAACAGTCCCATGATTCCTCTGCCACGTGAGATCCACGTACCTGAGGGTATGTCAAGTCTGCTTCGGTGGGAAATTAGTCCATCGAAGCAAAGTCTCCGTTTCAAGGCTTTGGCTTCAATACACTCAAACTTTTATTAAAATGTTTTTTCTCCTTCTGCTTTTCTTTCTTATCACACACGTGCAGATACAATGATTGGCACAGTCATCACCCAGGTGACAGGGAACGATGTGGACTCCGGGCCAGCTCTTTCCTACTCGCTGCACCTAGACACGGACACCCAAGGCTTGTTTGGGATTCACCGTTATGGAGGGGGTGTGTCTCTGACTGGGTCCCTTGACTATGAAGAAAGGACGTGGTTCACCTTGACGATACGCACATCTGACTCTAAACATCAAAGTGAAGCCAACCTGACTGTGCTCGTGGATGATGTGAATGATAATGCCCCGACATTTACACAAGACTCATATCAGGTAAACACACATTCATGGATTCAAGGGCAGGATTATCGAAATTGAATTGATAATCCTAACCTAAAGGTTAGGTTTGTTCAAAATGACATCATGGGATACCAGATATTTATAAAGGTTCTATGTATAGAACACACTAATGCTTGGGCTACTCAAAAAAAAAACAAAAAACAGAAAGGCACTACGTATGCTCCTTTGGGACTCAAATCCAGGACCTTCTGCATGTAAGGCAGATACTAGATACTCTGTGGGCCTATTATACTACATAATGTAAAGCATCATAACTTTGACATCACTCTTTAAAAGTCAAAGAATCATTGTTATGATTTAAATCATTTACGTGGTGTTGTACTTTTCTGACTAGGTGGCTGTGACTGAGCACCGTCCAGCAGGCAGCGCTGTCCTCACGGTAACCGCCACTGATCGAGACTCTGGAGAGAATGGAAGGATTGCCTACAGAGTGATGTCATCAAACAGGGGCATTTTCTACATCGATCCCAGTAATGGTACGATTATTATTGTGTATAATGTTTTTACAACATCATCACATCATTACCCTTAGCTACAGTGGGCTCCAGGTTTAATTTTAAATCAAGAGAATTATGGGATGTATTTTATTATGCAAAGTGCTCAAATGGGCACCAGGACTTTTTTGGGGAGGGGTTCTGAAACATGCTATCCCAATGTTAATTGCTTCTAAGCATGCTAGTGTAGTCGCTGAAAAGTGATTTTTCAGAACCCACTGATTTCTTATTAATGACTCATCAGCCATTGTAATGATTTTTTGCTGTTTATGCTACTTGCTAGTTAATATGATCAGACTGAATATAGCAACAAAGCCTCTATTGACACGATCACGATCATGTTGTGTCTCTGGACAGGTACTCTGTTTGTTAACCAAAAACTGGAGTTTGATGTTGAGAACCCATCCATCCTGGTTCTGATTGAGGCGCGGGACCATGGCACACCATCTCTTTCATCTATCGCTAGTGTCCAGGTGCATGTGTCAGACGTCAACGACAACACGCCCGTCTTCCACCAGTCAGAGTACAGGGTCTCTGTGTCTGAAGAATTGCACCCTGGGTCACCTGTTCTCACCCTGGAAGCTGTAGATGCAGACCTGTCTCGTCAAAACTGTGGCTTTGATTTCGCCATTGCCAGCGGCAACTCCGGCAATGCTTTCCAGATTGAGAGCAGCGTGCGCTTCTTGGAAGGACAAGGCTTCCAGACAGTTGGCAATCTGATCCTAGTGGAGAAGCTGGACTTTGAGGCAGTGCCGAGTTACAACCTCACAATCGTGGTCTCTGATCGAGGGGTCCCTCAACATAGCTCCAGTGTACCTATCCTCATCAGCATTTCTGATGCCAATGACAACGCTCCTGTGTTCAGTAGAGCAGATTACAGTGTGGTGCTGAGTGAAGGCGCCGCAGCAGGGACCGAGATCCTGCATCTGTCCGCCACAGATCCTGACTCTGCTCCCAACAGAGAGGTGCAGTACTCCATCAGTTCAGGGGATGAGACAGACCTTTTCCATGTGGACCAGTGGACTGGAACCTTGAGGCTGCAAAGACCTCTGGGAATTGAGAGACGATCTAACCACATACTTGTAATTCAAGCCACTGATGGTCAAGGTCATTATGCTTTGGCACCGGTCAGTATTGAAGTGAACGACATTAATGATAACCGGCCCTTCTTCCCCCTCAAACTCATAACTGCTAGCATTAAGGAGAATAAACCCCAGAATGCCTTAGTCACCATGCTGCATGCAATCGACTACGACAGAGGTGTCTTCGGTCGGTTAAGATACTACATGTTAAACACCTCCAAAGAGGGAAGAGATGCTTTCGTCATCAACCAGACCTCAGGGGAAATACGAACTCGCTCTACTTTTGACTTTGAGAAAGTGTCCTCCTTCCATTTTGTGGCTGTTGCCATGGATGCTGGGAACTACTCAGCCAGTGTAACGGTGCAGGTTTATGTGACAGGTGAGGACGAATATGATCCTGTTTTCACATCGTCAGAGTTTTTATTCGAAGTGCCTGAGGGAGCAAAGAAGGGCGGGGTCATTGGCAAGGTTCAAGCTAAAGATGAGGATGGAGGTGTGGACGGCGTTGTGCTCTACTCTCTAGCAGAGAGCTCGCCTTATTTCGAAGTAAACAAATCAACAGGGGACATTTCTTTGAAAGTAGACAGCTATGGGACACACTTCCGCCGTTCAAAACGAGAAGTGCGTCTCATGACCTTGGAAGTCACTGCACACAGTCCTCTAGAGACGTCTCGCTCATCAGTGGCAAAAGTTACCGTGGATGTGACCCACACGTCTTTTGGTCTCAGCTCAGACGTCAATACGCTTCTCATCAGTGTCATTGCAGTTTCACTCGGGACTATAGTTATTCTGATAATAATTGCAGTGGCTCTATTTTTTGTTAAATTAAGACGTCGGAAGAAGGAGCACAAGACGCACGGAAGGACATCGATGCCGGCCACTATATTGCATAAGTTTGAGGAAACCAAAATAACAGCAAATGAAATGATCTACCACCAGGCTCTTCCTGGATACCTGACCAGTCAGAGTGGCGGCGGAGGGCCCTACACTCGCGGCGGCTCCTTAGATCCCTCCCACTCCAGTGGGCGTGGTTCAGCTGAAGCGGAGGCAGCTGAAGATGATGAGATTAGAATGATTAATGAGTATCCGAGGGTGTCAAGCATCTCGTCATCCATGCAAGAACGCATCTCCGCCAGAGGTCCTGATTCTGGAATCCAGCAGGATGCAGATCAGCTCTCGGACGTGTCCTGCGAGCCCTCCATCGACTGGTTCAAAGGGAAAAAGGTGGGCAGTGTAAACAGTACTTTACTAGCTGGTCAAGTGCCCGTGTACAGGGATGAAGGTGGAGGGTACGTGGGCGTTGGCCGGGGGCTGGGCATTTCCCATCCCCACGAGTATACTTTTCCAGAGGATGGGAAGCCTCGAGTGGACGGCTCTCTGACAGCCATCGTGGCCAGTGATGAGGAGATGAGGGGCAGCTATAACTGGGGGGCCGCCTTCTGAACTGGTGGCCCCCGTTCCAACCCCTAGGTAACGTTTTCACTGAAATTGCACGTTTAAAAGACGAGACAGCTCCTTCTCAGTCCCGCAGATCATTTCAATACAAAGTAAAGGCAGAGTCGAGAATCGACCCCCCGCCTCTCATAACCTCTGTGGCCCATCCGGGGGCCAAGACTGTACCTCCCAAGCCCGCCATAGGGAGGAGTTTCCCGCACATGTCATCATTTCGAAGATCTCCCCTCAGCACTGAGGGATCCATCTCTTCAGCTGCCATGTCTCCAAGTTTCTCCCCATCTCTCTCACCCCTGGCAGCACGTTCCCCTGCAGTCACACCCTTCAGTGTCTCCCAGGGGCCCTCAGCGTCCTTAATCAGCACAACTGAACACAACTTGGAACACAGTGAAGAGGCAGAGCTGAGGATTTAAACTCTAAGACTTTAGAGGAGTTTAAAGTAAAAACTGAGTTGTCAACTTCATTTACTGTTCAACCACAGGGGCTCCAGCGGGAAAAGAGTCTTTTTCTTTTCACACTCAGGAGTTCTCATGGGTTACCACAAGTCCAAAAACTGGACTACATGACTAACAGGCCAAGAATGGCCATGTCTTTTTTTTTGTTTTCCCTCTGTTGATCAGTGTTAATTTTAACTAGTGATACATACATGATGTCAATATTTTTTACAGAAACATTGTCTATATTTTTATACTTATGTTGTTTTTAACAAGCAATGGCATTAAAGTGCCAAAAACTGCTAAAATGTCAGATTATATTTCAGATTATATTTGTATATTTGTAACTTGTTCGCATTGTAATTCTCTTAGCCTTGTGGGTTAGTAATGAAATTGTTGCTTTATGAATTGGATTTTTGTTGCAGATTTTTTGTAAATCTGAATGTGAAATTGCCTCATTGTTCAACACCTCATCCAAAAAGAAAAAGAAAAAAAAAAAGAAGAAAACATCGACTTGACATTCTCTGACACTGTCCTTCAGGTTCTCTGGCTTTAATTTCTCACTTTGAGCCTTTCACATTTGGACAATGATTCTTTTACCTGAGGCTGAACACTTTGAACAGTTATGTATCTTAAATGGTTTGCTTCAACAGCCCAACCATTCAGAGCATTTTTTAAATTTTACTCTGAAATATGCAGCTTATTTAAACATACTAAAAATGAGACATTTGTAGACTAAATCAATTGCATGTCATATCTAAAAAAAAAAAACTCCTTACCAGACCAATATTACATAAAGCTTAAATTATAAACCTCATTTCAGTATAAAAAGCTGTTGTGTGCTAATTGCTTGAAATCTTTTTTTTTTTTTTTTTTGTGAAGTGTGACAACTTTTTGGGTTAAAAACAAAAACGCTGCAGCTCACAGGTATTTCTCACGTTGTGTTTGTGTGGTTATATACTGTATATACTCGATTGGAAATGTGTTAGATGTAGTTTTCTGTGTCTAACTCTGACTGATACAGTTAATTTGAAGAATGTTTTCAGCGATAGAACCAGCTTTTCAGGAGAGAGATGAAGGTGAAATGTCAGGACACTAAGCAGGTACTAAGACTTTTCTACCATAGTTTTTAGTCCACTCACTCGTGGGCCCCGACCCACCATTTGAGACACAAGATGTGTCCTTCCTTGCCCAAGAAAGAAGAATGAAGTAAATAGCCATACATTTACACAGTTGCCTAGAACGTGATTGTATTTATGATCTTAAGAATTTTTATTTTTGCCATTTTGGTTTAAAAAAAAAAAACGTATTACATAACATACCAGTCCATTTGACTCCTCTGACCTACAATAATACACAATTGTATGCGTGTTTAAGTATATAAAGCAAAACTAACATTTGTTTTAATTTATTTTTTTTAAATGTATCTCTGAAGATGAAGAATGTGTTGACACATTTACAAGGAAGCTGTTGTTACCCTGGCCAAATGAACATGAATACTACCTATCTGAAGAAGTCATAGGGCTCTGTGTTTTTGTATTGTGTGTAGTATTGAATAGTGTTATTGTTTCAGGTTTGTCCGTTCTGCGTGTACGTTCGTGCAATGAGGGAGAGGGATTCCTCCAAGTGTTCTCACATATCATCGTAGGTTTGTCCAGAGATGTTTTCTGAGCAAAGTGCCTGATTAAAGTACTTACCTGAACGTTTGAATTAAATGTTGGCCCTTTTTCTAAGCACCAAAATGACAAAAGCAGTTAATTAATACTGTATATAAAACAAAGGAATAAATTATTACCCAATATATATTTTTTTTTCTTTTATCCCACTTGACATTTAGTAGAAAGGACACTTTTAAGTTTATCCAAGTTGACATTTAGTAGAAAGGACACTTTTAGAGCACATCTGAGTGTGAAAGCTTTATCAATGACTGTTATGTTCTTGTTAATTACTTAATAATAGAGAAAAATTGTCCACAAAAAAAAATAAAAGTATGAAGATGAGAATTTTCAGCACCATCAGAAGCTGAGCACAATGACCTTTATAGGGCAATGTTATAAACCCATAATCCTTGTTGACCTAAATTAAATGTAATTCAGTTTTTTTTTCAGATCTACTCTATATAAAACTTAAAGTTGAAGTGTCACAAAAAAAATCCCAAACAAAGAACAAATTATTTAGAAGAGTAAGTAATAAATTGCTGAGGTTTATGGAGCCAACAAAAAAATATGGACATGCGGATAAAAAATGTCTCTGAAGTAAAAAAAAATAAACCCAACAACTTGAGTACAGTTTGTATTGAATTATCAAAAAAGTCAATGTAACCATGCAGAGGAATGTGGGCCAAGTAAAATCCCACTTCTGAATCACAAACACCTCCAGAATGCTTCAAAAATAAATCCAATACAGCCTGGGAATGGAGGATGTTCACTGGTACCAGTTAGAAAGATGATGATAGAAAATAAACAAAAACAAAAATGGTCAAAAGTTGAAACGCAGCAATGGAGGTGTTATGTTGTAGGGATTTTTTTTTAAAGATAATACAAAAAAAATGAAAACTTCTAAATGTGGACGTAAGACGTGGGAAGGACAAAAGTTAAAAGGAAGTCAAATGAAAAAGTTCAGGTTTTTAATATTTGAAATGGAAAATTTCAACATGCCATTCATTAAAGCAGCAATCTAAAAAATACACAAATATTGCACAGAGATGAGCTAATGAACTGTTTGAGTATAAAGTGTTAATAATTCCGTAGTTTAACAAGTCAAGCTGCATTCAAACGTCTTATGGCTGTTGAGGATGAAGACTTTCAGAAGTGTTCTGTTCTACACTGTGGCTGCTGGCAGTCTGCTGCTGAAAGAGCTGCTCTAACTTTCATAGCCTCTAACCAGAGGTGAGAGGTATTGTCCATGAAGGATTTCAGTTTGTTTAGTCTGCTCTCATCCAATTTTTCTTGAGGCCATTCCAGGGACAGTTAGAAACTGAGTTGACTGTCTTCACCAGCTTTTCTTGTCCATTTTTTTAAATGAGTCCCCCATGAGATGATGGTGTAAAACAGGGGGTACAAAGGGGCCACCCATGGTCCAAAACCACACAATTCATAAACTGCCGTAATCTTTGGATTCTCAATTTTCCGATAGTACCTGAATGCACCCCATGTCACAGGTGCAGCTACGGAATAATCTGTGTGGACCTGGCAGTTTGCATCTGTTATCAAGCTGCTCTGCTTCTCAAGCTAGCGTGTAGTTAGCTTGTGCAAATGGTTTTTGAAAGTGCTGAAAACGTGTTTGTTAATTTTCTTATGCTACACAAATGTAATAAATATCAAAGTGAATACAATTAAAAAAATACATTTGAAAAGTTGATGTTTCTTCACATATTTTGTAGCATTGTCAGTAGGTTTTCAAAGGTGGTGCCCAGTCAGAAGCTACTGCTTTTTGGGATCCTTGGCATGGAAAACTCTGGGTACACTTGTGGTAAAATACTGCAAAATGCCAGCACTGTGTTATAAAAAGATCCGAGGGCTGACCTGGAACATGGAAACAGCTTTTTTACATCTACAACTGAGATTCTGATGAGGATGTTGAATCAGAACCTTGACAGTCTTCAACAAAACTCATGTTTTTGTCTGCCAACTCAGTGTTGACCCAATGAAGAATTCCTCCTGAATGAGAAAGAAGACGATTCTGTGTGACCTGTGCAAATATTTCACTAAAACAATCTGATAAGTGACATAAACATGCTAGGAAAACGATCAAATCTGGAAGACCTTGAAGGATTTCCCAAGGAAAAGCAGACTCGTCCTTGAACTCTGTTGACACTACACCAAACTACTGTTAACAAGCTGTGGACAATGTTCAAATTTTGGTTTTGTGAAATTGTGAGTTGGATAAATACAGTTGTGTTTCTATTTGTTTGAATGCTGAAAAATAATGTCCTTAACAAACCCAGTGGGTGTGGAGATTAATTGAAAAAAAAAAAACTTTGTCCTCAATTGCATAACAAGATTTTATTAGTTCCCACTAAATAAAGGATTTTGGCTAAAGTGTCAGTCTATAGTGTTTTATCACGAGAGCTCATCCTTCAGACGCTAAAACTCAAACCTGCTTTTCTCCCTGAAGCAGTAAGATAAACATAAAAACACAGTCCAATCGACTTATTTTAGTGCCACTCCTCAGTCCTGTCCCAATCTAACTGCCATAGAGTGGATATGATTATAATTACAGCCATTAATCTTCATCCAGACCATAATACGAACAGATGATGCAACCCAGTATCAATACCTTCATCATTTTAAATCAGTTCCAGTGAGGCCATATTGCTGGAGTAGGACTGCAGACATAGACTGAGCACAACCATTTACACGAGGTCACACCTGACGCCAGTGAATCAATCAATCAATCACACACTTATTTATTAATATCCACAAAACAGTTCCTTTTACACTCTTTACACTAGATTAAAATACTCTGGACAACAAGATATAAAATTTTAATGCACTTCTCTCTTGAAATTATTACTTGTTTAACTGGAGCAATGAAACAGCAGTTGTACTCCCTACAATAGTTGACTGTGAAGTGTGGATTTATATACCTATATAAGTGGAGACTTTACACTGAACCTAATGTAGATGCGTCTTAATCTCTTCTTTTTGTGTGTGTGTGTGACTTGAAACAATCCTAGGTGTATGCACATGAGTGCTCCAGTTCATAAAATCCACAAAAATAATAAAACGGTCATGAAATTATAGTTTAACTGTGGCTCCACATTTCAGAAGACGTTATGAGACTGACTCATTGTTGATGCCATAGAAGACGGCTGTGATGAGACTGTATTCAGGGTTTTTTGATTTCATTAAGCAAAGTGGAACAGTGGCATCTTAACATGGTCATAATGATAAATCAAGAATTGTTTCTGCCAAAAGGCTCCATTACAGCTCCAGCCTAACTAAATGTCCAGGGTTTGGTTCAGTTAAACACATGTCTGTGCACCAGTGTGTCATTTCATCTGAAGCTGATTGGAAATAGGCAACTTGGATTCTCTGACTGGTGGAAAAACCCTAGTATTTACCCTCAGAGTGGTTCTTTATCTAAAAAGAGGGTCGTTATGGCAAAACAAAGAAAGTGCTCACAACCGTACGATCGCCAGAGTCAAGGTGTAAATCGAGGGGTAAGGGAGTGTCTGTGTTGTTTGGTGAGTTACATTCACCAGAACAGGGAAACAGACAGGACCCAAACGCAGCACTAAAGAGACACAGTTTAGGTACAGACAGTTTATCCCCCAGTGAAAATAACAGAATCTCACTGGTGCAGGATTAGGCAGGAACAAAGAATGAACTGGTATCAATCAGGAACTAGGAACAACAACGACAACAAAACACAGCATGGACACAGAACAAACAACATGAACATCAACATGAACCAACAAGGAGTGAGGGAGAGAGAGAGGTATATATACACAGGGCACCAGGTGATACGAGTGAGACT